ACAGGACATCCCAGAGCCTGGTGGCAAGTGCAGAAGGACACTAGGGAATGGAGAATAAGGGTGATGGTAGAAGAATTGCCTAGTAAGCAATGCATGCAATCTGACTATGTGCAGCAAACACTTTAACATGGCTGTTTCCTGAGCAATGAGCTGCAGCAGATACCCATTTACACTGTGTGGCTGATGTTACTGCTGAGGAGCACTGCACAAGCCCTCATTAAAAATTGCTGTGAAGAATGCTTCAAAAACTGCACAAAAGACTATTTCCTAAGATAAGCTTTTATATATACATTACTGAGTACAACGGTGAAAAACCAAAACTGTAAGCTAATGTTGTCTGATTAAGTAGCAATGTTTAATTTTTCAATTTATTTTTTTTTTTAATGGGATGAGCTAAAGCTGAAAGACAACAGTTTTAAGAAGGAAATGAGGAAAATAAAACACAAGCAGGGTTTGCAGGAAGCTTTGGCCCCTAGACTCTAAAAATCCTTCCTGACAAAACTTCTTGAGCAAAGAAGCACAAGACAACAAGCAAGCCAGAGCCTCCACCAGGCTGGGTCTGTGCTCTTTACTTATGGGAGCTCTGATGCAACAAATCATCTTCCAAGCAGTCGTGCTGATTGTGAACGTAACGTTGGCTGCTCTTCAGATGCAGTAAAACTGTTGTGTGCTTAGATCAAGTATGTTTATTTTTAGAGGTAAAGCCTTGTCTCTGCTGTAGCCAGCAGAGCTGGGCACGATTCCATCACAGGTGTTTTACTGAGGACTTGATCTCAGTTTTATTCTGGTGTAAGAGAAAGCAAAAGCTGGCGCTCCGCACTGGCTTCATTGAAGGCACATTTTCAAGGGAATCAGCTGAGCTGTAATAATAAAGGAAGCCTTGGCCTTCTTTCAGGCCATGCTATCTCCTTTTTCTCACAGTGTCTCAAGGCTTTACATTTTCAGTTGAAGTTAATTGAATGAGACAGTGATACATTGCACAGTGAAACCAGATCAATCACTGTGCGAGTCAAAATAGGAGTCGTGATGACACTCAGAACAAGAGCTTGGGAAATGTGATATTTACATTAAAATATTTTACATTTTTGTCTCGTGGTCTTAAAAATAAATTTTAAAATGTCACATTGTATAACATTTCTCTCTGTTTATCTGTATGCATTTGCATGTGTGCATTTGAACAATAAAACCAGATCAGATTTAGTAATAATGGGGTATTTTCTACACAGTTACACAGCCTCATTTACAAAAGAGTTAAAACAGAACAGCTCACATAGGCTAAACCCATTCTTTTCTCTGAGAGACAGTCTTATGACAGCAAGGTGCATATGAAAGTGAAGTGCTATAGGAGAGTTTACTCTCATATGAAGTGGCAACAGAGAATTTGACTGTTGTCTTTTCCATCTTCCTGCCCCTTAAATATTTACCTGGCTGCTGTTTCCAACTCTTAGCTTGCAGGTAGAACTTGTCATTTCCATTCACTTATGTTTACTGTATTTGCATGGAGAATAAGGTCTTGCTCCTCCTCAAATGAGTAAGTAAAATCAAAGACTTGGTTTTATGTATAGTGCAAAAAAAAAACAAAGAAAAAAAAAAAAAGCCACCCACAACAGAAAGCCCTAATCAGTGTTTTCAGGTTTGCAAAGTCCCAATGCAGTATCTAAATCCTCAAGGTTTTCACAGAGTCAAATGCCTTTGTTTTTCTGTCAGTATGTAAAGTACAATCCCACAGAAAAAGTTATCCTGCAGGAACAGAAAACATGAACTGATGTAATTTCATCAGGTGCCTTTCCATCAGGATCCTGGGCAGTTCACATTCAGCAGCAGCTGTTTTTCAAGAACACTCTCCTACCCAAACCTCAGAAAAAAAAAAAATTAAAAAAAATCAAGTTTTCTTTAATGAAACCTCACTTCTTCTTTTTTTGCTTTCGGATCTAGTAGTACCTTCAGAAAGTGGAGCCATGAAGCCTTGACACTGAAAAATCAATATACTTTTAATGATCATCATGCCAGAAGTTTTTTGCTTGTGGTTTTTTGTGTTTGTTTGGTTTGGGGTTGTTTGTTTTGTGTTGTGTTTTTTTTTCTTTTTGGAAGCCTTACAGATGCATCTCTGGTTTCAGTGAAAGGCTTGAATAATATAAACAAGCAGCCATTCTGTTCCATGAGGAGCTTTTTAAAATATTCTTATTTCATTGTCATTACCTTATTGTTTTCATATTATGAGCTACTTGTAGAAAAATACAGGAAATATGACTGCAATACAATCCTTTAATCAGGGATAGCTTTGTTCCAGTCATCATTTCCATTCAGTGTTGAAACTTTTACTGTGAAGAATACAATCAAACCTTGAATTTAGATGTAATAGGGTGTTAATACTATGATTTAATGTGATCTCTGTACCTACTAACTTCCGTAAGAGAACCTTTCTAAAAGTCCTTAGGAGATGTTTTGCCCATGATGCTATTTTCAAGTAAATCCTGCTACAAAGTAGCATTTCTCAAAAGTACACAAACTTCTTCAGGAGAGCCATTTAAAATGATTTAACCTAAGTCAGCTGGGGAATTTGTATTATCATATATATTAAATCTTCTTCTCTTTTTTTTTTTCTCTCTCTCACTGATTATGCCATAATACCTCTGCTGTAGCATTGTTAAAGCGTGGGAGCTTTTAAAGGAAAAATAATTTTCTTTTTATACTTACATTTATTTAATACAGTAGTTATCTGTGTAATTTCTGTAAAATTCAGCACTGCAAGTAACTTCACTTTTACTGATTTGCAACCTTCCCCCAATCTCGTTTTGGCCTATTCAGCAGCTGAGAGTTTATGTTTTTGAATGAAGAGCTGGAATTAGGTAAAGTATTTTTTAGATAAACTGCTTTAACAAAAAGTATTTGTCAAAGCAAGTTAAAAGACTGCTCCCAAGCTGCTCAAAAGCAGAATGCAGCTACATACAGCAGGCAATGGCAATTCATTCTGTTCTTCCCAGTCCATTTTTTTCAAAAATCAGAGGCCTGTATCCTAGATAGGCTCAGTTTCAAAGGATGTTTTCAATACAAGGATTGTGTAAATAAAATTATTACTTACATAGCATTTATAAAAATGAAACTCCAAAGTTTTATGATATTACTTTTATGACATAAAACTAGGTGATATTAAGACACTTAACTTCTAGCTAATGGCTTGAATTAAGACTGAATAAAAGGCAATTGTTTTTATACTGAAATTATTATTTTAAGAAGGATTTCCTGGTTTCCAGGCACATATATACACACATATATAATGTACATTAAACCAAACTCCAGATAAAAGGCATACCTCCATGAGCACATTAGGGTCTGATCCAAATTTTATCAAAGCTAGTGGGAGTCTTTCCCATTTCAAACCAGATTTTGCAATCCATATTCACACGACCCTCCAGGGGATCCCTCAAGCTGATGTGGTTTTGCATAAGTTGGCCTCAAATGTCTGCTGCAGTTTCTAAAAACCCATTATAGGGCTGCAGTAGGAAATAATTTAGTCTAATTTAAGGAAATCGTGGCATTTTTTATTTTCATAGAATTTTATTCTCGTCCATCTGTTTACTCTTTTCTGAAGGCAGGCTGAAATGTTTTTTAGCCTGAAGACTGAACTAGTAAAAAAACTGCCTGGAATAGTCTCAGCAGACATGTTTGTTCCACATGCCTTTCTTTGGTGCAGTATTTCCTTTGGTGGATTTCCTTTGCTCCTGGAAGAGAGCTGTCTAGCTTTCTTAACTGGAGCACAGTTATGAAGAAGAAATTCCTACGTTTTACTGTACAGGATGAAGGTGATTTTGGAAGTTAACATGACCTGAACCACACATGCACGAAAGATAGCATCTGAAAAACGTAGTGTGTGGCAGTACAGTTAAAAAACTCCAGCCAGAAAATGCTCATTAGCTCCACCGCTGGCCAAAGAGTAGAAGACGGAGAAGAAAGGCTGGTCCGCGCGTTTTTCAGGAAAGCCTGCTGTGTTACCACCATAAAGTCAAATGCCAGAGCAGAATTCGGCCTTAGCCTTCTTGTTCTGTAATGAAGTTGGGCTCATTTGGTTTCCTTTAAACTTGGACAGAAATAATTTTGGCTTTTACTGCTACAGAGAAGAAACTTGTGAGGAGAGATGATATATTTTATTAAATCAGCACATGCAGTTGGAAAAAGCTAACTATTTAAACACAGTATTTGAACTTCAAATGAAGATTCTGTGTGTTGCCTATTTTTTCATTCAATTAGAAATGCAGTCAAATTAGGTTTTCTTCTTTGTCTAATTTTGTTGTGTTATTTTTTATGACTAGTCATGGGATTGTTTTGGTGTGGTAGTGCTTTTAAGAGTACTTGAACCGTGAGTCGAATATGACCAAAGTCTTGGTTTCTGTAATGGTTTTGAGATAATTTCTTTCCATTGATGAGATATTTAGACTTTTTTTTTTTTTTTTTCCATGTAGGATGCTCAAAATATTCTGAAAACAAAGATGTAGGCGTTCAAAAGCTGAGTGTTTACTACTCTTGTGTGTGGTTACCCATATTCATAACAGTCTTTCAGCATCATCTGTCTGTGATCACATTTTTATTTGAAAAATAATAGTTGTCATGTTTGTTCTGTGATTTACATTATTTAAACAAAGGGGGAGAAAAGAATTTGAAATAGCTCATTCAATAGCATGACTAAGAAATATGACAACTTCTTATAAAATGTTCACCATTATACGGCTGTAAGGCTGGAGTTCAGACCCCGCGCGCACACAAAAACAAATAATAACTCTTTCAGTCTGAAACAGCCTGGTGAAAGGATGCTGCCTCCTGGTGATTTATAGGCATATGAGCTTCCACTAAAATTGCATCTTAAAGGGAAATATTTTGTCCTCAGAGGAGTCCAACGTTGGCTCCAGCTGCTCTCAGCTAGTGGGGAAGCACAAGCAATGGGGTAACCTTCAAAGTGGGAACAGTGGATGCTTCTCACATCACCTCTATCTTCTTTCCTGCAGGATTTTCTGCAAGGGGACTCCACCAAAGCCAGACAAAAGCTGAACTGGAAGCCAAGAGTCACGTTTGATGTGAGTGGCAGTTCCGGCATGTTTTGTACCTGCTGGGGTTTTGTGTCTTCTAAACACACTCCACAGGGAGGGGAAGGGATCTTTGCATGGAGTGGCTTGGGCACACCAAGAAATCTCATTTTCAGTGCCTTCCCTATGCACTGCTTCTTGCTTTGAAGACAGCAGCCACCATGGTGGTATGTGGCACCCCTGTTGGCTCTGCCAACCTGCCCTGCAAAGGGCCTGGCAGGTTACAACATTTTGGAAAAGACCTGTGTGGAGACGCCAGCAGGGAGACACAGGCTGTGACTTCAACAAGCCAGTTTCAAGAGTGTCTCACCACTCCCATAACAGAGCTGGGGCCAGGTCTGGACCGCTGTGGGAAGTGCCCAGCAAAGCCCCATCCCCTCCTTGTCCTGTTTTGGGGCCCGGGAGTGTTGTCGTGACTGACAGTGCCTAATCGTCCCCTGCACTGGGGCTCTCACCTACCTCTCTCCCTCCTCGCAGGAGCTGGTGAGGGAGATGGTGGATGCCGACGTGGAGCTCATGAGGAACAACCCCAATGCCTAAGCCACTTCTGGGCCCAGTGGGTGTCGCAGGACCTGTACTGGGGATGCACCCCACAGCCAGCATTGCCATGAGTCACTGGGGCCAGGGTTGGTGGGCATCCCTCCCCATGATGGTTTTATTGCTGGCCTGCCTGTGTGCAAAAGCCCAGTTTTATCCCACCCTCCACACCCTCCCAGTGCCTCTCTTCCCACACATTATCCCAGGGTCAGCCCTGCCTGGACTAACTCTGGTTCCTGCCATTAACTGGGAGGGGTCACAAACACACCCCTCCTGATACTATACCTGAATTATCGATCAGCCAGCAAGCCCTCTGAATTCCTTTTTTATAATTAAAACTCACCTTTCTATTACCTAGGACCTCCAGCACATTTTTAGTACTTTCTCCTAGTTGAAAAGAAAAACCGAGTGTCCCTTGTTCTCCCAACTCCCCTTTTCTCCAAGCACCAGCAGCAAACCTCTGGCGCTAACATGGGCTCACCACTCCTCCTGCCCTTGCTCCACAGCTTCCCCTCTTCCGCCTTTCCTGAACACTCCTTGTTTTTCTTTCCTGCAGCCTTACCTCCACCCCAGCGGCCCATTTCCACCACTTGAACTTTGTAAACGTTTAGATAACTCGATGTAACTTGCAGTGAAATTGCCTATTGCCAATGCCGAATTAATTCCTAATTGCTGGAATTGCTTTCAAACCAGTCAGAGGGGGCTTGTAAACCTTTTCCAGATCTTCATTTCAGAGTGTGTGTGCATCACAGACAGCCTTTTTGTCCAGCACCTTCCCGATCCAGGGATTATGGGTGCTTTGATTTTTGTCCCCCCACCCCGAATCAACCCATTCCCTTTCCATCCTCTCCCTGCTTACTATAATTAGACCTTGGACAAGAGCTTGAACCATCTCAAAACATGACTTCATAAATAAAAACAAAATAAATTGTAAAAAGCTTTGGAAAAAGAAAAAAAAAAGAACGTTCAAGGTGAGTAAATATTTTTGTGCTTTCGTGCCAAGCTACCCGGGTTGTCCAGAGGTTGTCAAGCCCGAACACTTCCCGTTGGTTTAGAATCTTCTACCCACCGATTACTCCCATCACTCTTAGCTTTATGTCTCGAAACGAGCAAAGGGCAAGACACGCAGGGGAGAGAGACACGGGAGGGAGATGCACCTTCTCCCACTGCACCGCTTATTTTTTTATTTTGTGTTAGGAGGGGGGACACGTCTCTTAAAAGGGGAGCAATGGGGCGGTGGGGCTGAGCTGGGGGCTGGGGGCCGTGGCTCCGGCTGCCCTCAGGAGCAGTTTGATGATGGAAGAAGTGGTGCGGAGGGACGGGAAGGGGACTCGGGACCAGCCTGCGAAGAGCGGGCTGCCGGAGAGAGAGGG